GCCATCTCTGAGTAGTCACCAGCCAAGCAGCAGAGACTGCAGGAAGTTAGAGGTTGAATCGAAGAAATAGGCAGCAAACAAGCATGTTGCTAAATTGATAGCCTTATTTTTCCTTTCTTGTTGCTTGACTGTATAGAAGAGAAAAGTGATGTTCTGTCGACTCTGTAAATCAGAGAATACCTGGCAAACACAACGAGGCTAATTGCTTGAAGGTGATTGGTCTTTAACCTTGCAATGATGAGTGAATTAATTGTGACGGGCAGAACAAAATGCCTTGGCATCCAAAGTGAAGTCACACAGAGACTTGGCACCAAAGAGTCAGTACACATGTGTTGGCACCAAACAGCAGCCCCAGGTCCAATATTTCCCACCGGTGGCTTTGACAGGGTCTCAGGTTGCATGGCGACAGAAGAGCTGTTCAGCGAAAACACGAGCATGCATGAGGTGAGCGTGGGAGGAAGGGTGAAGAAGAGATAGTGACAGACAGAGAGGTAGAAAAAGCTGGATATAGACAGAGAAGACAGCGTGACGTGACAGGAAGAGCATGTAAACAACTTGTCCACAGACATGCGGGAACAGAGGAAGTGGGACTGATGGAAGAGTTAGCGCAAGAGGCAGCACAAGAGGAGGAAGCACTGCTCATGAAGTTTGCTACTCAGCATCAAGAATCCATGTCCTGAGACGGTCATTAGGTCATCACAGGTTTATATAGGCAGCACGGAAACCCATTACTACTCGCAATTAGGGCGGTCAAACAATCAAAAAAAAATTAAATCATGTTTCAATAGTTAATCGCATTTTTAATTCCATGTTTGAAAATCCATTTTTACGCATTTAAAAAAAAAATTTGTTAGGCTCTTATTTTGAATTTTTGTACTTTCTTAATCTGAGAGAACTATACATGCTCTTTGAGTTCAACCCTGCTTTTATTTTGAAGTAAGGACCTTCTGATAGATTGAAGGTTACGACATTAACTTAACCACGGAAAGAGGAACTCGTTATGGATCAAAAACTAAATAGAAACAACTAAAAGTAAAGATAAAAGTGAAGTGTTGGCTGTCAAAGGGGGGATATTCACTCGTCAACCGAGCTAGAAGTTTATTATAGTGAAATGAGACATTCAAAGATGCTGCAGTGTGGTCTTATCCATCACCGTGACTACAGGTAGTAACCGCGGAGGATTTAATCAGGATTTAAAAAATGAATGCGTTAGTTTCAGAACTTAATTTTACGAGTCATGCAGACGGTATAAAAAGCTACAGAGTCGAGATTTAAATAGCTAACTGCCATTTTGTTTCCATGTAAATAGAGCTGCAGAAAGATGGAGTCCCATACAGTTCAACTTGTCACATACTCTTGACAGATCCAATTAAAGTGCAACCAAAACCTAGAATATCTTCATCTGGCTTTCGTTCCTCTTCATTGAACAGACTCGGTTACATTATACCTCCTCTGTGCGATGCATCTTGAGAGCTCTTGGCATTGTCAGCTGGGTTTTTGACATGGAGTGCATCTTCTTCCCCATAGAAAACACACAGTGGATGTTGCTATGGGGATTTTTGGTCAAATACATAATGGTTGTTTGGATGTGACCGTGTGTTCAAAATGGGCTCTTTCCTCTTTTCTTCCTGCCGCAGAAGAATGAAAGGAAATGTTCTGCCTGGGAAAAACATGGTCTTGTGCGGAGAGCCAGTTAAGACCTTGAACACGTCCAGCTCATTGTGTTTCGTGAAGCAAAAAAAAAAAGAAAGACATTGAACAAAAAGACTGAAAACCTAGCAATGTATTGAATTGACTCACAGTGACAAAGATCTTGTACACCTTATAGCTGTTAGACTCCGGGTTGAGTGTGCACAATCAATTTTGGTGTATTTTCAATATAATTTAAGTGTATAAAGTGTTCATTTCACAGATTACTTAAAAATGTTAAGTAACTTAAAGCGGCATTATATGTCTGCTCAGAACGAGACATTTGATTTAACATTTGACTTTCTGATGGACAACTTAAAACAGACAGCACTGCCAGAGTGCCGAGACAAAGGAATTCCCCCACGGTAATTTTACAGATTCAGCGGATGTATGCGGTATAAAACTGTATAAAACCAATAAATACACATCAACAAACACGCATACGGTCATAGTTCAAATGTGGCATAGTTCAAATGTGGCATATAACTACCATCAATCTTTTGTAGGTTAGTAACTGTGCCATTGATCCATTCTATGCATCAAAGCAGCCGCTGCGGGCAAAAGTCTGCATGTCTGTGCATAAATATTGTACAAGACATGACATCCAATTGCTCTACTGATGAAAAATAAAAACATGACAGCAGCATGGTAAAATATAATCTCCTTTGTATCCATTTGGGGAAACAGAAGTTTTAATAGGGAATAAGACTTGTACAAGTGGAATCAAGTACGAATGCAGTCTCACTATTCCAACTGTGTGATCCCAGTGGCTGACAAAACGAAAAAAAGTGGCTCGTACCAGCTAGGGAGATCAAATCCAGTCAGAGTAAAGACCAACAGGGTGTCTAAAGAATAAAAGACTGACTCTTTCAAACAAACTCTGGAACTTCATTCAATCTAGATGGAAACTCTGCCCGCCCACCCACCCACACACCCACACACACACACACACACAGACAGGGTCCCCGCGGATTTCTCTCCTCAGTAGATCTGTACTTGCCTTGCTGTCGCCAAGTTTTCCTGGGATTGGGCCAAGCAGCTTACAAACAGCAGTTTATTAATTGGATCTGGTAGCGTGTTTATATTGGTGAGGACTGAGATGATTTCACACTGGCCTTGGAACAGGTGTGCTCTACGGCGGTGCCAAATGAGCAAACTGCACGGCCTCAGCAGATTCCAGCAAAAATGGATGAGCCTCGACAAAAAAAACCTGCCATAACTCAGCAAAAAGCAGCAGCACCTACCTACCTACCTCTCTGCATTTAGAGCTTTTCTCCTTAAGGTGCATTAAAGTTCAAAAACTTCAACTCTCATACACACACACAGGATTTTAGGGTATGAAGAAGAGTTTTTGAACTAACTAAGTTGATGAAATAATAATAAGTAATTTAATTTGGGGAGTGTTTTGTTAAGCTGTAGTGTAATTCTATTTTATTTATTTTTTCTTCCTGTAGCACTTTTGAGATTTCTTTGCAAAAATGCAAAGTGCGTTACAAATTAAATGTATTATTATTATTATTATTATCCCACAAGTGAGACCTGACTACTGTACTACCCATTGAGCCTTTTAAACACAAACTGTTCATTAGAGTCTTTCAACAATAAACATGGCCGAAAACAACACTGCTAATAGTAATATGAATATATCCAGTGTGACAGCGTGCATCAGTGAGTTAATTAAGGAGGGATGCTTCTGGGAAATAAAATACATTTGTGTTTTCCAAAATGCTCTTATTGTAAAAACTGCCATTTATTCTCTCATATTTTGCTATTTTTTAAAAGCATATCTCCAATACATTGGACTGGCTCAGCCAATTGTACTGTAAGTGAAGTGCCCAATTTTTTATATGTTAAAGAAAGGAAATGTCTTGTTCTTGAGCGAGACTCAAGTGTTGCCAGATGCAAATTATGAATGTAACTTATTAAGAAAAACTTAAAACGCTTTCTCACATATCTGACATCGTACTTTCATGCGCCCTCACATTCCTTTGGGCCCCAGACTGAATGGTAACAGCAGCAACAGACCCCTGCTGAGGTCAGAGACCACCTGTTCTGGGTTGGCTGAACTAGTGAAGCGACAGAGGACACATCTGGCCTGACAGGGAACAGGCCGGATGGGAATGGCAGCGTGCTCCCGGGCTTCAGGCTGGTGACGGATGACTCACAGCTGATGCTGAGGTCACCGTAGGTTACATGGTGAACGGGGAACAAAAGGATCAGTGGGGACAGTGTTTTTCTAGGGTGTGTGTCAATTCTGGACCTGGCCTTGTTCTTTAAGGATATTGTTTTTGGTAAGTCGTTTTAAGTGTAGCAGTGTGGGTTGGCATGGTATCTTGAGTTTCTGGTGCGAGGAAATATGATAGGGGAAGATGTGTTTTATAAGCTATTCGATTACAGGATAAAGATTTCATCTTCATAGAGTCTTTACAGCTTTAAAAAGGAGTTTAAGATTTTCAATATTTTAGAGTTGATGGCTGTTAAATGTCAGTTGTACAAGGATGAGGAACTATAAATCTATGTTCTAAACTTCCAAAAGAGAAGCTGTTTTTCATTCGCAAACTTCCACACTGATTCTGCAGATTAAATAAGCATAGTGGTCTAAAAATCTCTGCGGTCTGAATTGTGTTTGTTCTTGAGTTACAAGTGATGGAGGTCCAACCAGTCACGGAACAAGTCCATCATTCGAATGTCAATATCTGTATCCCACAGCAGCAGGATAAAATATTATGTCTACATTCTTGTTTGAATAAGGAATATTGGTCGAAACTAGACCTGAGACAGCATTGCCATCTTTATGTGAGGTTCAAAATCCCCCAGACATATAGCCCGCCTCGCTGCAATCCTTCCTCTCTGCATGTAAAAGTTTGTGCGCCAGTGTGTGTGTGTATCTAAATATTTATGAACTCCAAATGATCCCCACCCCTTGTTTCACAGTTCACTGTGTTATTTTCTGCAGTCTGGAGGGGAGAGGAGGGATGAGAGGAGAGAGAAAGCAAAGTAAGGGAGGAAAAGAATGTCCTCCGAGCTCTCCTCTGCCTTATCCTTTATCAGCTTTCATCTCTTGGCCCTTCAGAGAGGCTGAACAATCACTAGGGGATTTATTATTTTCTCCCTACTTGAATACTCTATATATTAGCCCAAACAACTTCTCCTCCACTTGCATTTATAAAGTCCAGTTATCCATAGCTGGTAGCTTGGCTCTACTTCTTGGCTGTGTTTGTGATTCACATAAAAAATATAAAAGTTTCCTCTGTTCTGGTGCTTGCAATGTGAATGGCAAGAGGATTTTAATGAATCAGAGGGAAACTCACTCATTTTTCTCCAGCAACAGGATCAGCTGTTCACCTTCCACACGTACCAGAAGCTGGAGTGACGCAGGATAACTCTGAAAGACAAAAAGATGATGGAAGAGTTGAGGTGGTGCCCGGATCTCACCCATCCTGCCAGTGGATCAGCCTTTGCTTGAAGCTTCACCTCACTTTGACACACAGTCTCTGTACAAGGCAGGATGTGGCACAGCACAATAGTGTCAGAGGAACAGGAAGGCAGCTTCTACATCCTACACTTCTCAAGTCTGCATGACACCAAAGTTAGTAAACTGAACTTGTTTCAAAACTTCACCACCTGAAGTTTTCCACCCATGACTGTCTTTTCAAAGTTACAATCATTACAATTTCCATCAAATAAAACCCATTTTTGATACTTTGTACAATGTTTCTGTGATGTATTTAATCTTTCCATGAAAGAGTTTTAATTGTAAGGAGCAGAGTCTCCCTTTTCTGGAAAAAATATAATCCCAGTAAAGGTAAAACTGTGATGAAAATGTGATGTGACAATTTCGAATGTGATGTGACTATTTCGGTGCCACTGATTTATGGCTGAGACAACCTGGGAAGATTCGATCCTATATCAAATCTCAAAATAACAATTTTCCCGAAAAACCGTTCTAGGATGACTTGACGATTTTCAGAAAATAGAAATCAGAGGGAAGAAATGCCGTATCCAGGTGAAGTGTATTCATGCCCAAGGCTAAAGCTGTTATTAGACCATCTTTACACCATGCACATAGAAAAAATGGAATCTGTCACACCTGCCCACAGTGAGGGACAGACTAAGAATTATTTAACATCAGTAGATTTTTTTCAGATGTAATGTCTCCTCTTCAAGTGAAGCTGTCTCTCGTCTGCTGAATGACGCAGCTTTGTCTAAGAGAGTAAGTGTGTCTATCTTTGTTTGTGAGTGTTCCTGCAAGTATATCTGTGTGTTGAGAGACTGGTTGTCACTCTAAGTAATGACTCTGCAATACTTTACGACTGCTTGATAACCTTCTATTGGCAGAAGGAGCAGCTATATAAATCTGTTACCCGGGATGGTTTAAAGTCTTCCTGCAGTAAGACAATCAGCAGCTGCCCTGGCGGTCAGTTTAATTTGGGAGGGGTCAGGCTGTGGATAGCCTATTGTGCGACCAATGTATTTCCTCAATAATAAAGCCTCATGTCAGCAGGAGCTGGTGGCTTAGCATATCTGATGTAGCTTCAAAAGGGGGGCGGCTGGCAAGCTCCGTAGACAGACCGTGGCGCGTGCTGTGGAAACAGGAGCATTAACTAGAGAGGGACGGCTCGGAACGCAGCGCGCATGGACTATATGGAAATTAGGTGTTAGTGTGAACTCACACTAAGCAATCGGTACCCTGTCCAAGCATGTTTGACCCCAAAGTCCAGACTATTGTGATTCCTACGCACCATGCTTAGGCACGGTTGGATGAGGTGTGGTTCAGCATGTTACGGTTGCACGTGCACAAGCTCAAGCCCAGGAACACAACGTGTATATTCCATAGAATCGACGCAACCATTCCTCTTGATAATCATTGCGCACAATGGCGTGATGCAGAGGTTGAGTGTTTCCTCGGAATTTGTGCAGAAGTGCATAGCCAGAGTCCCGTATCAAAATAAGCCATAGTGTCAGCAAAGTTGCAGTCATGATTTCTGTGTTATTCTCTTTGTTGACTGAGACCGCACACATGCGGCCTGAACCGAGGGGGGTTGATCAGAAAGGGTCAAGGATCAAGTGAGACCCAATGCAACACTGAGAGCTATGCTTTCCTCCTGTGAAAAAAAGTTATCTTACGTATGTTGTGGGAGAGGAGCCACTTTGCATGAAGTATATGAGATACCCTAGTTTTTCCTTACCTGAAACCACAAGTCTGGAGAGTCCGAGAGGGCTGATATGACTATAGATATGACTATATGCATCACTTAACATGTATCTTAATGTACTAGATAAAAATGACATTGGAGTGTTGGAGGACTGCTGCATGCTCTTGTATCTTTTTTACAGTACCAGGTTTGCATGATCCAGACTTGTAAATCTCTTAAAAACAATTCTTCGGTATAGTTTCACACAACTTCACCTACAGGGCAAACTAATATTCTACAAACAGAGGAGGACATCTTTAAAAGAGGGAGACGGAGACAGGAAGAAAGAAGCAGGGAACCAATAGAGGATAAACACAGCTAGAGCAGACTCTTTACTGAAGAAAATCAAGCAAGCGGGGAAACAAGCAACAAGGGAGGGAATCATATACCCTGTTTATGCCAAACAAAAAAAAACAAAAAACAGACATCTGTACTTGGCTGAGCTCTTGGAAACACACTTGGAAAGCAGCTTCTTTGCATTGAATGAGAGCAGCTGAAAAGCCTTTTCGGTATTTACCCCTGACTCGAGCTGGCAGACAGGTCTTCGCTCCTTGCCCTTCAGCAGCAGAGGTACGGTGGTCCCATAGCGTTCTGGTTTTGTTGCATCCTCTTGCTTTTTAGGCTTGCCAGGTATACTTCCTGTAAAAAAAAAAAAACACAACAGGTAAAAGGATTTAATGGTGCAATGGAACATCCCATCAAAAACATCAAACCATGTTTATTCAGATTATTTTGTGATTTTGACATGCCGATAAGAGGGACAGGGATATCTCACTCATCGGTTCAGTGCTGTCATCAATAATTTAAGCACACCAAATATGTTTCGGACATAAAAAAAAAAAAAAAACCTCCAAAAAAGGCGGGGAAGCCTCAGACACGATGCGCGGGACTAGTTAAGATTGTGGATTGCAATGCTGAGAGGGTAAAAGCTATCTCTTGTTCCTTTGAGGAGACGTGCTGTCCCCAAGAGGGCCTCTGCAATATGACCACAGCCACAGACAGAGCATCAATAATAGATGATCTCCCACAGTTATGAGAAACTCATTCTTCAAGACACATCAAAACAGAAATGGATTTAAAGAAAAACAACTGGCAGTGTGAAATTTTCCTTTCCGACTTCTTATTTCGTTTACTCTTTCGCCTCATGTAGTAGTTCAGAAACTGGCACTTCAGTCCAATACTTCTCTGTTTTCTCTTCCTCTAGAGTTTCTCTGTCACTTACACATCATTTGACTCCTCTTTTAAACCGTTACTGAAGTGAAATTAGCAAAGTTTTGAGCCAATTATGCTAATAGGCTATTTAAAGTCTGCTCATTTGGGAGGCAAACAGTGTGGGATGTACTGTATATACAGCATAGGATGAAATATAACTAACCGGATCAGTCGCTTCAAGCAGAATGTTGGAATCACAGTCACAATTCCCTGTGCTCTTTTAGCTCTCCTCCCTTTTCTGAGGCTGTCCCTAATGCTCCCACAGCCTCACTGAGCATGTCTGTATTGTAGCGGGCCCAGCAGGCTTCCTGTGAAGCTCAATAAATGTTACAAACCCAGAGAGGAGCTGTGGAGATGAGAGGGAGTGTGGGAGGGGAGGGAAGAGGTTGTTTGAGGTTTCACACTCCTGCTATAACCAAAGGAAGACTATGAGAGCGTGCTGCCTCTTTGTTTACTGTACGTCTAAGGTCTAGGCCTGTTCCCCTAATCTCTTGAGATACGCACATAAAGCATCTGTTTGCGTGATCATGTTTGGCGTCATGCAGGGTACAGCGAGGGTTCAGCAGTACCAGGAGCAGCAATGAAAGAGTCTGTCAGACAGATTTTTTGCTTTGATTTCTTTTTCTTCTTTCTCCACACAGATGGAGATGTCTTCATTTTGTCGAGGTCTGCCTGTTCAAAGTCAGATTCTTCTTTTTTTTGGAACATGAAATTCAGTGATGACTCCTTTGCTATCATAACTTCAAACAGTTTGTGATGGTGGTTGCCCTGAGCCATCAGTGTGGACCAGACTCTCCATTTACCCACAGTGGGTAATACGCTAACAAGGGCATAAAATGGACCTCCTGTAATTAACAGGGTATTTGAACATGTGCTGCTGGTTGTTTGTTGGTTTTAGTGGTGCATGAAAACCATGGTAGACAGAAGGAGCAGCATGACTGAGACCACGGGCTGCGGCCTGAGTGCCATTAAAAAAGAGCTATAAAAGGAGAGTCAAGCAGACATCTTGTTAATATAAGACTTGTAAGCTTTAACTTGTGTCCATTTCAGTTCATTTAGAACTCTTGAATACTGCCAGAGTTTTGTTGGTCAAAAGACAATGCAGAGAGGAAACTACAGCAGCAGTAGACGTGTGAAAAAAGAATTAGCTTGCACAACAACATTTCATCAGAACGCAGCTGAGAGCAAAAGTATTTGTAGTTGTCCTGAGTGGTCACACTTGGCAAAAAGCCTGCCATCATAGAGGGGCAGGCGAGACAGCAATGAATTACACAGCATTGGACTATCTTTCTTCAGAGGCGTTCATTCATGGTGTTGTGGAAAGAAACACAAATCACGCTGTTTGTTCGGCTTCTTTTGAAGCATGAAGCATGCAGACTTGTTAGACTGTTTGTGTGAGAATGTTTCTTAAAAAAAACTGATGTTGCATGCACAATTTAGGGATTTCAAAAACTACTAAATAGTCCACAGAGCACTCTGTTTGGAGCATACTGACTCCTGTGTGAAGTAATGTGTATGTATACTGCAAAAGAGATGCAGGCTATCTGTGAGTTAGTAGTACAAGCAGAATGAAGGTTACGGCTAAAAGGCAAAATGTCATTGCTTCTCAAAAGGAAACGTTCCCTTCAAACAGCAAAGAAATATGGCATTCATGACCGTTCTCACGAGTCTTTTCCTCTTTGAGAACCTTTTGAAATTCAAACCGAAATTGGGTTAATCCCATATGTTTTCTGGAGAGGAATGTGATTGCAAAGCCAACCACATTTGTTTCCCCATATTAGACACGAGGGAAAATCATCCACGGGTCAAACATCTCTCAAAAAATAAGAGTCTATACAGAAGCCAAAAAACAGCCCCCCACCCTCCCCTCCCCACCTCTATATATAGTCACAAACACCAGAGCCCTTTTTCAGCTAACTCCATTTTGATAATCTGACAAGGATCATTTAGTCGTCTAGGCTGCCAAGGTGTAGTACTGCCTTTGTGGAACAACATGAATTCAACAAGCTGCTGGTGTCAACTTCACTCACTTAGGAAGGTACCACAACCTCAAATAAAAATTAACACAATTTGCCCCAAATGCTAGGGCTGCTGAAACGAGGGGAAAAATAGCTTATTTTCTGCCCTCAGTTTGTTACCTTCTGAATCAGGGACATTTCTGTATGACTATCATATCTACTTGTACATCTTACAGGAATGGTATGCATTCAAAAGTCAGTACCTGCATAAATCATTTTTAAAAACATGCATATGCTCAGCATTATCTGCGTACCCTTTTGTCTGTAGAACCAGCAAGTGTTTCATTCATAGCTAATACTGGGTCTGCTCTATCAGCGTGTCGATATGAAGCCCCTCCCCTGAGATGAACAAAAGAATGAACAACGTAAGGAAGGTCAAAACAGGAGGATGAAGGACAGGATCATCTTAAGGCAAGGTGTTGGGAGGACAGTACAAGACAGTGAATGTCACAGTGGGACTTCGGAGACCTCCTGCAATCTGATTAGCCGAAAGCTACATTTGCATACAAATGATCTTGAGCAAACTGTGAATTTCATGAAAATATTGCACCCTGCCTCTTTCAGCAAAGGAGTTGAAACACAACTCTTTAATAGAGTTGAAAAGTTTACAATTGACTTCAGCAGCTGACAGAATTTTCTCAGCACAGATACTTGATAGACTTATGTGTATGACATTATTTTGTTGACTGTGTCAGAATTACTTTTTACACTCAATTTTCAAGCCTCTATAAATTATTAAAATAATACAAATAATGGTCCTTAAATGCTTGGGGGAAAAAAAACATTTAAAATTGACTTATCATCACCTCTGGGAGTCTGATCTAAAGCTTTGGTAAAGGAACATAATCGACTCTGTGGTGAGATTGCTTTGTCATTACCTTTATTTTCAGATAAAATTACAACATGAACTAAAGCTGTTAATGTTCATATCGAACTGACTCCCATTTTTCGCAATTAATCATTTGATTAATACATTAAAAATGAAACAGTAAGAATGTGTGTCACAATCCCCTGAAGCCTACGTAAAGGGTTTTATAAGACTGCTTTGTCTTACCAGTGATCTAAAGCCAAAGGGTTTCCAATTTAATACAAGAAAAAAAGGGAGATGACAAGAAAGAGATATCTGAGAAGCAATGACCACTAAATCTTTTGGCATTTCCCCAAATTACCTTTTGTCTTAGCTGCTCTTAACCAGACAGGCCTGTTCTCATCAGCTTAAAAGAGGCCAAGAAAAGCTCCAGCAACACTTGTAGTATGAAGATCAACTTTATTAACAAATTAGACTGACCCGTTTCGCCCTGTGGCCTTCATCAGGGTCAGCCACAGGGTGAAACGTCTAATTTGTTCATAAAGTTGATCTTCATTCTACAAGTGCTGCTGGAGCTTTTTTGACCTCAACCTATCACTCTTCATACACCTTGGTAGTTGGTGAAAATCCCACTCTGCTGCCACACCAGCTTAAAACTCAGGCTGAATATAAAATGTGTACTGACACAATTGGCCTTGGAGAAATGTCAGCTGATCCGCAGATATGAACACTGAATACGTATTTAATAGTGGAGATTATAAGATTTAACGTTCAATACCTGCATGGCAGCTGCAAAATCAGCAATCAAAGTCTCGACTCAAACCCCCATGATGCATTTGTATAAGCCCTCTAAAGGAGACTCTCAGCCAACACCGGGGACTCACCCTTAAAGAGAGGAAGATGAAGGTTCTACGATTATACACAAGGACAACTGTCTTTAAAGAAAACGATCTTGTGCCAAAAATGCTGACAACTAAGCAAAACACAGCCGAGGTAAGTTCAACTGTTAAAATTGGATTCGACGGAAATTTGGCTCTAACCCAGAACCATTTCTGAGAGTGCCTACTGTATTGATCATACTTATTGATCATGGAGTGGCTGTGTATCGAGCCAAGCTCAAGCGACTGCAAGAACAAGAGATATGTTATTATCGGTTTGAAATGTTTTTACTTTGTTTCTCCTTTGTGTCATTTTCACAAACACATGTCATGAAACGTGAACACCTTTGAATACATAAAATGCAATTGTTTGAGCTATGACTGTCAGCGTTCCCCCACTAATCGAGATGCAGTCAAGGTAAAATGAATGCATTAAATAGTTTCATCTTATTATTTGCATGGTAATGTGTCCCTTCCTGTGTGTTGTAGTTAAGCCACCTAAGCGTCTTACTGCAGCAGCAGTGATGGAAATAAATGACACCACGGCGCCTTTGAATGACTCGTTTCACTTCCTCCCATACATGAGCGTTAAAATTAAAGAAGATTGAAGTAACGGGGAAACTTGAGTTAGCTTTTGGGTGAGCTTGTCGTTGAAAGAGCTGCCATGTTCTCGTCACACATGTTCAAAGCAGCAGGAAACCACGTCCGGGGATTAACCCAACA